CAGATTTATCCTCCTTCATACTGGGAGACCTGCAGCATGTGCTGCATTGCAGGCCTACACTGCAGCACCAATATGTCTCACTGTGTTTTGCACTTGCTCCTTCATGGCTTGTCAGGACTGATCCTGAATACAGAAAACACAGTGTTCATCTGAAAAGCAGTCCTTGATAGCAGCCAACTTGAGACTGCCTCTCACGGCGACGCCTAGTTTGACCACGTAAATGGCTGTTTAGCAGCTCTAACCCTCTGCAACTTCCCCTGTTGAGCTCATATCACAAAACCTCCCACCTCTGAGACAACCTCGTCCCTCTTTTCATAGAAACAGTGGCTTGCTTCCTTCAGGGTGACTCTAAGGGAGGAAAAGCATTTGTAAGCGGCAGCTTTAAATGTTCTCATCAGTAAACTAGATAGAGACTTGCTAACTACTCTTAGTTGATCGCTGTGGTAGCTGGTGTCTAACAGAGAGTTCTTGCCCAATAGACTCTGGTCCACAGCAGGAAGCTCCAGCACTGCTGAAACTCTACCATTTAGCAGCACTGATGCTGAGATTAGCTCAGCTGGTTAGAGCACGGTGCCAATAACACTGAGGTTGTGGGTGTGATTCCCATATGGGCCACTCACGTAAGAGCTGGACACAGCGCCCACACAGTGATCCTTGTGGGTCACTTCCAACTCAGAATATTCTGTGATTAAGTGTCTGCCTAACCCTGTGGCTCTCCCCAGGCAGTTTCCAGAGCAATAAGACATATTTCTAGGTCAGTCTCCAGAAAGGACTCCAGCCAGATAACATAACTAATGTTTCTGTGCTCTTCAGATGGAGAGGATGGGAGGTTTGTTCATGTCAAAATTACCACAATAGCCTCAAGGTAAAACATGGAGGGGTCTTTTCATATGACCCATCCTATAGGTAACCCACAGTGCAATCTCTAGGCAATATCTGCACTGCAGCTGACAGTGCTGCTGGCAGATAAACTGAATGATGTTGCAGTTGTACTCCTCAGCCCAGCCAGTAATTTCTTCTCTCCTGTCTTCTCAAGAAATATATGGTAACCAGATTATCTTCAAGTCTTCCAGACTGCTTTCATATTTAATGGAATTCAAAAGTTATTGCTGGTATTAAAAGACAGATGCAACTGCATGAGTCTTGATCCCTTTGAAAAACCTTCGCTTCTGTAGTGGAGGCACAGGTGGGGTCCTGGTGAGGTACAAAACATCTGGCAGAAAAGGCAAGGGAGTATGAGGCAAATTCTCTGGTTTGAGGCCAACTCACCAATTCCTCCTGTTCATCCTATTGTTAGTGAGTACACAAATTCACAACTGTGTGGATATGCACATACTCACACTGCTGACGTAATGCTACGTAGGGACATATGCTCTGTACCATTTTCCTGTTTCCCGTACACCTCAGCAAACTTATTCAGCCACATACCTGCTCAGAAGGGTATCAAGCATCCTGTGGCTACTGTAAAGCTGCTGCTATATGAACTGCATGGTTTTCCAATTACAAAAGGCCAGCTAGTGAAGTGTTCCTGCTGTAGGAGCAGCTGAGTCCTCACCTCAATTCTTTACCCTTGTCCTTCTTTCTAGAACTGTCTTTCCTATGCATCTCAACATATTTCGGCATCTGCAAAGTGCAGGTCTTGAGTGTGCAAGATGACATACCCACTTCTTTCGAGTTTAGGCTTAAAAACTGAAAATTAAATATTGTGGATTGCATTTACAGGAGTATAATTCCAACAGGATCCCTTGCAGGTCCAGTTGGCATTATTCCAGGAAGCCATGGTAGCAACTGCTGGGTTGTGCTCTGTGGAAAAAGGTCTGGCCCTGAATAACAGAAGGAAAAAGTGATGATGAAGTTCCATGTCATGCACAAAATGTAATGAAAATCAAATATCAATACTGTGGATTTTGCTTCTTCAGTAAAAAAGAGAATATAATTATACCCTTGGCTTAGGGATAATAGAAGTTTGGTGGGATTCTTTTTTATTTTAATCAAAAAAGTCCCCACAGTTACCCACTGTTTCCAAAGCCTCTAGTAACTCACACCAACAGTGAGAGAAAGAAGGTAATGACCCTGCAAATTTCCTTGCAGAAAAGAGAGGAGGCTTGGTATAAGCTTGCAACAAACATCTCCTAATCACACAAAAAAAACAAACACGAGGGTTCTCCTGTGTGTGCAAGACTTTTAAGGCCTGTATAATCCAGCTTAATGAAGAAAGATCACAAATTTGATTTAGACTGGCTCAGGACTAGCTATTTGATTAAAGCAAGTGCTCTGTTTACTCTGGGATAATCCGTGAGTCTTTCCTTGCCCACTTACTCTCATTCTCTCCCTGTTCAGGACATCTGCTCACACAGAAACAGACACATAATGGGAAATTTAGCGAGTGGAAACTACTCCACAGAGTTCCCCAAATGCCTTGTTCTGGAGTGAAGAAAGTGAACTACACATGAGTTCCAGGGAAAGTGGATGAAATTCCTATCAGTGACCTTGAAGGATCTTCAATTATAAGAGTATCTGACCCATTTTCTGGGGTTACATGTCAGACAAGGATCCTGCTCCTCCATTCCTCCTGCAGATGGATTTGGGGCACAGAGCAGTATTCTAGGAAATGACACCTGTTTGGAACTAGACATCACAAAGGGACTATAGTCCCAGTCTCCAGTCACAGATTTTTCCACAGCACAAGTTAAAAAAACCCAAGTATATCCATATAGAGGAGTTTGCAGCTATTTGTCTGTTTTTGGGGGAAGGAAGGGAGCTTTTTGGTGGGATTTTTTCGTGTCATGTTCTTTGTGCTTGTTACATAATTGTACCCAGCACTATTAATATTACTACTCATCAGTGAGTACTCTGTTACTTCCTAGGAGAAAAGAACTGGAGAAACTTCCTCAACAAAATCCTAAGAAGGGCAGCAGAAAAATACAAAACTTGATGTGGAGGAGCTACAAATGATCGATTTTATGGAAAGAAGGGAAGAGGGGGGGAAAAAAGGCGGGGAAAATGCGTCCTCCGAAGAGGCAGGCTGTGCTCCAGCACCGGGAATTACCGCCTGGTGCCCTCTAGTGCCATCACCGAATTAAGGTGGCCTTGCGACTCCACAGCTCCACAGCACCGCAGCTCCGCGCACTGCGCTACCTCTGCTAGTCACCGTCCCCACTCACACCAAACGCTGTCAAAGGGCTGCTCAGGATGCCCCAGGCGCTTCCTTAAAGTGAGGAAAGAATCTGCACTCCAGAAAGATTCCCCCCCCCCCCACCAAATCACTCACAGTAGGCCCCTTTCAACTCAAATCAAAAGGCCACTGTGAGCACACCAGGAAGCAAAAGGAGATGCAATGGAGGTCCCACAGGACCTGAACCACCTTCTGGTTCATCATGTGGTAGGGATCTGGTGACAAGGGTCCCAACCATGTCCTTCTTGCATGTTAGAGGTCCAGACTATAGGCTTAGGAAGGCACTCTTCCAGAGTCTCTCAGTGAGGTAGAAACTGTAGAGCACAGTTCTTCAGGAGAAAGGGAGGCCTGAAAATACCCAATTGAGACTCTACCTGTGTCGCAGTCATGGGACAGGCTACTACGTCAGCTCAAAAAAAAAAAAAAGAAAAGAAAAGGAGGGGGAGGAGGCAAAACCCTCTCAATACTGTCCTTCTCATTCTGTCTCAATGTTTTCTACGGGGTTTGGGGTTTGGAGTCTGATTCAGCAGACTTTGCAAGAAGGGCTGATGATAAATATGACACATCATGCTTCCTCCATTCTTTCCTGGTGGGACATTTCAATAGAGTGTTTACTAATCCCTTCCTACAAGGAAACTCCAAGATTATTTTCCTCTAGCCTCTTATACACCATGTACATTGCCCTGCATTAGGACTTTACGTGAGGCAGTCTTTGGTCAAAAAGGAGCAGGATTCATTGTTGGGGCAAGTGAAAGGCAGCCATCACCTTCCTGTTCACCTGTGATAGGAGAAATAGAAACATTACTCACAGCATTCTGCTACTCACAAATAATCTTAGAGAAGTCTCAGAGAATCAGAAGGGATGTATCTCAAGCAAACAAGAACTTTGGTTCTGCTGCTTTTCAGTATCACCTGAAGCAAATGCACACACACAGACTGAGGTCCACCCCTTCTAAACCCTTTAGGGAGACAACGGTTCATCTCCCAGTCTCCTGAATCTGTCAGCTGGTTCTTTCAGCTGGACCACAAATCTGGCATCTGAGCCCTTTCTCAGATTTTCAAGCTTCTCAGCATGGGCCGACACTCCCTAGAGAGCACCTCTCTGGAAACCAAGTACTGACACTGGGGAATTCAGTCCTAGACCTGAAACGCTCTGCAAGCCAGAGAGACAAAATACCCCTATCCTCATGTTTCCCTTGGTCTCTTCAAAGCATCTAGAGAAAACCTCTTCATCTCTGAACCTAACACAGCCCTTTCCTCTTGTCATAACACCTTCTGTAAATGTAGGGCACGATGTTCTCCTCTACCATCGAAACCAAAATCTTCTCTTACTGGCTTTGCTCCACTCAGTCCCCTTGGGTAGGTAGCCCTAAAACTTTTGTGTGACTTTCACCCAAACCCCACATCTCCACATCAGGAGAAGCAAGACACTGGACTCATCATCTCTGTCAGGCTTCTCCACATACAGATGCACATATACAAGCCAAGGCCTACATCCACAGGGCTCATTGCCCATTTCTTAGGGATTAAGTTTCCCCCTCAGTCTTAAAGCACATGACTGTTACACTCCTCACTCCCACACCATTTCCCAGTGTTATGTCACACATATCTGCCTACGCTTCTGCACAACCCCTGAGGATCACAAAGCAAAAGTCCCTGTCTAATGCAAGGCTGGTGCTGCTATCACCAAGCCAGAGCTTTGTGGCTGGGCTTCGATGTATGTGGTCATCAGCAGGAGGCAAAGTCGGCATCAGAGCTGTGATGACTCAGAAGTTTTAGGGTGATTTTTTTTTTCTTTCCCCCACAGCCAATAAGAGCACTCACAGAGGCATAACTTCTCCAGCAGGAAGTAGAGCAGTCACTCTCCTGGCTGACAGGCTCCTATGAACTGGTGGAGATGGCAGTGAACTTCATCTACAGTTGTATTGCACTTTGCTGCTTAACACTCTGGAGCTTCAACGGGATTTCAAGTGGTAAGAGTGGAAAATAATTGCTGTTTTGCTCGTGTTTTAGGTTCTGTGAGTGCTGCTACCTCACGCACTGGTCAATAACAGCCCTTCTCCAACTCCATGATCAGTTCAGACTGCAGCTGAAATCCAACTGTTGAAAAGACTTTCCTTGTAGTTAAGCATGCTCTCTCCATGGATATCAGTTACGGATTTTAAAGTCAACTTACGGTTTTAACTCATTTGTCAGTATTTAAACTCTGCACGACCTTAAATACTAAATCTAAAGATTGTGAGTAACAACTTGATTGCTAAGTACAGATGGGCACTTGAGTGCCGATTAGCCGACTTTAATTAAGCATTTTTCTGTATCGTTTCTTTCTCTGCTGAGCAAGGAAACTCTTAATTGCAGACTGCCCTTAAATCTTTAGAATGGGAGCTGCAGGCAGGAGTGTTTTTCTCTGAAGGTTTTAGTTGACTTCAGTTTCACTTTGCCTCCCATATACAGAAAATGCACTTGCGGATGGTGTTTGGTTAGCCAGGAGATTTTTGTTTCTGCTGTGGTTTCCTTTAGGTGTTGCAGAGGCATGCAGGAACTCTGCTGCATCTTAAGTGTAAAGATAAGGCCTAGCCTTGTTTCTAGTAAAGGGGAAGAGGTTCTGAAAGCACCTGATGAGAAAAAAAAAATCAATTTGTTTCGATCTGCCTGTTTGTTTCACTGCAGGCTGGGAGGGAGTATCTACAGGATTGCTCTCTCGTACTGCAGAAACAAGGTCTCAGAAGTATTACTTAAGGAAGAAAGCACAAGAGAGGTCCTCTTAATACAACATTCAGCTCATCTCTGCAAGAACAGTCCTTGCTTGCTTTATAAAAGGGATTGCCTGTTAAGTTTGAGGAAGAAAAGAATCTAACCCTACTATCATCCACCAGGAGGAACAGGAAGAGGGCTGGCTTCTCTCTCTTTCTCCCTCTTTTCACATTTACAAATCTAGAAGCAAGGATGGTGTCTGAAACATTTATACTCTGGCCCTAAGCATCTCCTGGTAGAGCCGCAAGAGTTTTCTGCCCAAGTCATGAGATCACATCCTCTGGGCCTCTAAGTATTGTAGGTGCCTGTCCAGGTCATGCAGTACCTCTGCTCCTGCCCAGACCTGGATTACAAGCGTTTCAGCAATGCTGCAGATGCAATGCAAAGCAGAACCCTGCACTGCTATCTGACCCTCTGAGCCATTCTGCCTTGTGCCTGGAGCTGGGCCATCACCTTACACAAATTCAACTTTTTCAGGTAATGGCACTCAAAGGACACCCTCTCTTTTGTCGGCACATACAATGAGGGCATCTTCCCCTCACCTTGATCACCATCTAAATGCTTCTAACCTCAAGATGCCATCAAAGGCTTAAGGGTAGTGTGGGTGAGAAAGAACGTATATCTGAAAGATAAGATATGCAAACTAAGAGCAGCAGGGCTCTCTAGCCAGTGTTTGATATGTTATCCAAACTATACTGTACTCGGAACAACATGATCCATCTTTATAAGCAGATTCAAAGTCAGTTCTTCTATAAGCTGGGAGTTGTACCAGAGACTTTTAAATAATATTTGTGATACTCTGGCTTCTTCTAAGTCAGTTTGAGCTCTGCTATCACTTCTGGTAGCAGCTCTTTATGTCACTTCATTCCACCAGACTGTTTCACCATTTCAAACATATAAAGGAAAATTAATAGATGTGAGCAGAGTCCTTCTGAAGCACAAATGCATTGGACAAGTAAGAAGGTTAACAGGGCTAAAGGTCCCACCCTTTCAGGCAGCTGATGTGTTTTACAGTCATGTTTTGTGTTGTTTCAGATACACATGTACCACCACCTCATTCAACCATGAAACCTGGCTCCCCCATCCCAGTGAACATCAACAGCCCTGGCGTTCGCAAGGCAGCTCGCTTTGGGGTTTATAGATACAACAACAGTTCCAATGACCTCTTTCTGTTTAAGGATTCACAGATAAACAAAGCCATGGTACAGGTAAGAAGAGCAGACCTCTGGTGCTCCTTCAACCCATTTTGTAATTGACCCTCCTATGGCACACCCAAGACACGGCAGCCCTGATCCTCCTCAGGACTGCTATGAATGCCTAAAGCTGTCCTTCTATCACCTGCCACACAGGAGGGCTCTGTGTATGTGACATACAATTCTCAGATGTAGCACTTGATTCCTAGCCAAAATTTTGGCATCTCTTTCCCCTGCCCTTACTTTAATGGAGGAAACTACTTTCTCTAGATTGTCAGAGGGCTGAAATACATGCTCCACGTGGAAATCAAACGTACTGTGTGCGAGAAGAGGGAGCACTCCAGCCTGGACAGCTGTCACTTCCAGAGGAAAAAAAACCTGCAACAGGTGTGTCCAATTCCTTTGGGGGATTCAGTAACTGCTGGAGTAACTGGAGGTGATTCTTGGCCATGTCTAGCTGTATAATCACCTTCAGACCAGCTCTGCCAAGTCCCCATAGATGCACAAGCCTCTTCTCTGCAGAGCCAGCCAGGGTGAGGTAGGATTATCACCTCTCAAGCATCCAGGGCCAGCTCCTGTCTGCAAGGAGTTGAACTGGACATATCTACCTAGCCCATATCCCTGGGTAAAAGTGTGCAGAAATACAGTAGGTGCTAAATAGAGGTTTTCTGGGTGGGGGAAACCTTTACACAGGCCTTCCTGCTAGACATGATTACTTAGCAACCAGTACTTTTCCTAGGATAAAGTGGGCAGACAAAAAGATGCTCCTGCCCCATCATGGCCCGCAATGCTGAGACCAATCTTCAGACACCTGAACTTTCTCACTAATTCTCTTTTTATTTGCAGATGCTGAGATGCTATTTTGAGGTCTGGATAACACCTTGGTTACAGAAAGTACATGTCACTGTTGTTCACTGTCACCAATAGCTTTCCCCATGAGAGCCTGCTTTACAGGGGATTTACCACCATGAGTTTTTCCTTACCTGGACTGTCGACATCAATACTGAAGTGGAGAATGCACAGGACCACCCCAGAGCTTTTCTCTCAAAGTACATGGTTGCTTTTTTCCTTGAGAAAGACGCTCAAAAGTAACAAAGACCTGCCTTGACTGAATGTATTGCTATCCAGTTGTGTATCCCTTTTTCCAAAACTAAAGTGCACATGAACACATATTGTCATTGATTCACTGATGAGCCATCCATGCTCTGGCTGCATTTTCAAGCACATCCAGGAACTTGGTTTATTCTGTAATAACCTTCACAAAACCATGATGGAAGGAAGTCTAAACCACAGCACGTGTGACTACAATACTGAGGAAAGCTTTACAACAGTGGGATAGTTTGCCTGGGTATGCACACATGCACAGGTTTTAAGAGTCTCCTGTGCTAGGGAAAAGGTTAGACAGATCTATCAGGAATGCAAGAGGTAAACAGAAGTTCTTTTTTCAAGACAGAAGTATGAATAAGGATGTCTTGAAACATAGCCCAGAAATTACACAGTCTAACTAGTGCATCTAGTTTAATCAAATGCTAATCTACCCTATGAAAGGGCATCACTGCAAATGCCAAGATGAATAAACTTAATCATATTCCCAAAGCATAATTCTGCTGAGGTTAAACAACATAGTTTCACATAGGTTAATACGTGACATTTAATCTCTGGCAGACCACAGATTATATTCAGGTTCAGCAGATTGATGGTCTTCTCTGCGTGGGCATCCACCATTCCTTCAGCCTTCACTCTTCATTCATGGGCCAATTACTGCTTACATTGGACTAATGTCCTTATTAGCAAGGATTTGGGTAGCTACTCCCTTAAAACAGCAATAAAGTATGAGCCCATATTCAGTCATACACAGACCAAATGGAAAGGGTCCTGACCTTTCCACAAAGAGCATGTTTTTTTCCCCACAAACACTCCTTTTCTTCTGAGAGTTGTTGTCTTTCTGCAGCAATATTACAACTCCTATTAGCAGTAACAATTTCAGCCTTTGTAACAACCTTTCAGTCAAGAAAGGCCAGTGAAGGGCTCTAGGCCAAGGTCTGGGGATTTTAAGATGATCTATTAACAGCATAGCTGAGGTCTCTGCTCCAAGTAATCCCAAAGCAAACCTTTCCAAGCTGGACAAGTCTCAAGTCCTTCTTCAGAAACATTATTTGTGATGAGCAGGTGGCCCACCAGCAGGTCAAATTCAGCATCCAGTGCTAGAGAGGCAGCTGTGCTGCATCTTGTCTTTGGGAACAGCAGTCTCTTGCCTGAAAAAAAAAACAGTGCTCAAAAGCAAGCTCGTGAAGGGTCATGAAAGGACGTAGTTTAGTGCTACATTCACCCAACACACAAGCCACCACTGACAGCCTGGTGCCAAAGACTATAGTGGCTTGAGTTGTTCAGGAAGCAGGAAAGCCAAGCCACAGCTAAGTTTGTAGGAAGGCAAGATGTCAGTAGTGCTCTCCGAATCTCAAAGGCGTTATTAGTGTCTTGGTTTGAAGACAAATATTGGGAGGCAAACTCCAATAAAATGAATTCCCTCCCCTTTTTATTCACATCCCCTCCCTAATACAGAGAGACAAAAAAAAAAAAAGAAAAAAAAGCGAGGAGGTTTTAAGTGAAAAAATTAACAGTTTACTAACAAGAAAATATAGCAGCACCACAAAGATACAAGGGAAATGGCTTACCCCCAAAAAAGGAGTTCACCGCATCAGTTGGTCCTCCGGAAACAACGAGGAAAGAGAATGGTGGAGGGTCCCCCCTGCCAATCACTCCTGTCCACCCCACCAAATGAAAGAAAACAATGGGAGAACAGGGGCAAAAGCAAAAAAACAGGAGAACTGTGCTGCTCACAGGAGCCACAACACCAAACTGGCCACACCACCCGGTTTAGCCTACTAAACTAAAACTGCAATAGTGGTACCATTCAGAGTCTCCTTGTTCCCTGCCAGGTGTTACCCCCGACGCAGTGCCTTGGCCCGCTTGCATGACTGGGCTGTGTAGAGGCGGCAGGGGCTCGGGCACAGGCAGTGATTCCTCATGGCAAGTGAACAGCAGCAGTTCCCAGTGGCGCTCTGGCGGTCCCGGGCACACTCTGGCTGCGCTGGTGGGACTGTGCCAGGGTGGCAGTTGGGGCAGCGGTGACCCCTGGGCTGCTTCGATTCCAGCACGACACGGCGAGTCAGTGGCTCCTGGCTTTGCTACTGTCCCAGAGACGGTTTCTTGCCATGGTTGAGACCCTGGACCAACCCTTTCCACAAAGCGGCATGCCCCTTCAGGTGATGTAATGGTATGAATATTTATTGCTATAGCTCCCGTCCCTCGCTTGTAACCATAACAGTTAGGAATGGTCTCAATCCCTTTTTCACTTCAGCTGGGTGCTTCACACAATGCCAAGGGCTTCCAACCAGGCTGTTGGCTCTACACAGTCTAGCCCAGGATGGTCTGAACAGATCCATGTCTCTTCCTTCAGCTAGCAGGATAGTAACACACTTCCATGCACCTTTCACATGCCACAGTGGGGGCAAAAAGGCAGCACACGTCAGCTCACTCCTGGGTGCTCACCAGGATCTATTTCTGTCTCTGCCCACAAACCGAATTTGTTCAGAGGCTGATGAGCTTTATGGCTCTGTGGTGACCCAAACACTGGGGTGAGCTCCGGGCTCTCCCTGCCCAGGAATCATCTGCCAGAAGTGCCAGGGAGATTGAGCAGGTGGGAGGAACTCAAGTGCAGGTGAATCCCAATGTTCACACTCACTCCACCCACTCCCTTGAGGAGCAAGGTAAAGTCAGTCTGGGAGTTTTAAACACTGACTTACAACTTCTGGTTTTAAAGGAATCAGAGGTTGGGAGATGCTTGGAAATCAGCCCAGGGGGAAGATGCAGCATCACACTCTTGAGATGATACAGGAAATGAGTGTTTTCTTGGCCAGAATATTTCGCTGCAGTGCTGTGGAACAGGGAAGCAAGGGAGGAATCCTGATGGAGAGACTGCAGGTAGTGAAGAGCTTCAGCCTCCAGTGGCTGCAGGTGGGAGGTGGAGAGAGCCCTGAGCACGAGACTTTGCTGCATGCCTGGAGGAAGAGGGATCTCTCCTGTATCCCACGAGCTGGAGAGGAGTTGGGAAGCACTCAGCCCTTTGGAATGGTGTGTGCTGTGTCTGCCAACAGCTCCTGCTCCTGAGTGTAATTAGCACTGGACTCACATCCAGGAATGGCAAACATAGACATGATTTCATTAATATTAAAGCCATTGCTACAGGAGAGTTCTGCATGTTGACAGGATAACACACAGCTTTAATACAGCAAATTTCTTGAGCTGGTGGGGATTCTAGTGCCTTCCTGGTGCAACACTTTATTTTCAGTGTTTAAAATGGGCCCTGAGTGAAATGAGAGTGAAATCCTGGTCCCTGTTTCCATCAAAGTACTTTTCTTACAAAAATTTGACCTCCCACTTCACTTTTTCAAACAAGTGCTGTGCATCAAATGTTCCAAGAGCAACAATCATCACCAGTCTCAGTGTTTGTCAGAACAGACATTTAGCATGGGATGTTCCTGTCCCTTTCCCAGGGCAGTTGTTAATTAAAGTGGATCACTCAGGAGGCCTGTCTGGAAGGAACTCTGGGTGGGAGAGGAGGTGCCAACCCGGAGGACCAACAGGAAGCACAGCCAGCTGTTCTTCGGAAAGGGAGGAGTTCAAAATCCAGGCTCAAAAGGACAAAGAAAGGTGGGGGGAAAGGAAAAAAAATGAGAAACTGCTTATCAGAGGAGATGTGGATGTGTGATGCCAGAGCACAGCAGTTTTCTTTCCAGTTCCTCTGCTTCCTCCAGAGTGGTTTGACTTTGAAATACAGAGAAGAAAGTTGGCTTGTTGCTTATTTTCTCTACTGGGAGAGGTGGAAAGGGAAGAGGGGGAAGGTTTTGCAGCACTGATGTTGCAGGGGTTCAGGGTTTCCCTTAATATCCACTGGTATTGAAAACAGCCTGAAATGACTTCTTATTAGCAAAAAATAACTAATGGGATCCTTTGGTATTCCCATTAGGAAGGAAGCACAGGGATTCCGTGTCAGCTGTGTATTTCCTGTGGCATAAGGAAAAATGTGGTGGTGGTGGTGGTAGTGATGATTCCTCCTGGAAAAACACTGGGGGATGCAGGTAAGATATCCTAGTGCTTCCAAGTTCTCCAGGGATGTGGGTGTGCAGGCACAGTCCTGCTATGGGACTAAGGGAAAATCTACCCCCTGGAACAGCTCTGTCAACCTCAGAGTGCCTCAAAACCTGCAGGGCTGGCCCAGACTGAGCCATTGTTACAGCAGTGACAAAGGGCATGGGGGGTAAAAATCATGTTATTGCCTCTGGAAAGAAAAGGGTTCTATTTTTAATCTTTTTTTTTTCGCCTTAATCTTTCTATTTTATTCTGCTAGTGTTTATAGTGAGAGAGCACAATGCTTCTTGTTACCATTGTCCTTTGTGTGACTGGGATGTAAGTAGATGTTCCTCAGCAGATTGTCTGGGATACCTAGTCCAGAGAGATTATGCTGCAGGAAGTTCTAAAAAACAAAAAAAAAGCCTTAAACAATCCCCTCCACTCCCCCCCTCCAAAAAAAACCACCCCAGCCATAACCCAAACAAAAAACCTAGAAAATTGTCACAGTTCCCATGTGGGAATTTATTATTTTGCATATCTATTCTGTTAGGATTCTCTATTTTTTTTTTAAGGGATTATTTCTTATTGCAAAATCAGATTTATTCCAGAGCTGAGTGGTTTGATTTTGAATGCTGAAAGACTGAGGAGGAAAATAATAAGGCAGTAAAAGGAAATCTGTCCCTGTCAGTGTTTTTTTTTTGCTTTTTGGTGGGGAGTGGTTGGCAGGGTTTGTGTTTCAGTTCTCCTGTGGAGCCAATCCTTGTGCCTCCACAGCATCCCAGTCCTCAGGAAGGCTTTCCACTGTTTTAGGCTGGAATTAGTGCTGGTGTTCAACAGTTTAGTGTTTTGGGCCACACCTCCCAGCTCATCTCTGGAGAAGGGAAAAACCTAATGAACAGCAAAGGTGGAATTTTTAAAAAAAGTACTATAAAAAATGTGTCCTCGGCTTAAAACAGAAGTCTGGGGGAAATAATAGACCCCTCATGTATTTGAGAAGTGATTTTTGTTCAGGAAATAAAAAATACACAAACGCATACTTGGGATGTGCTTGTGTGTTATCACTGAGACAAATTAACAGCTCCCCTTGTTCTTTACTTCCCCCACCTTTACTAGTGCTCATCTTGATCATCCCTCCCCTTCTGCTCCCACTGATCCTGGCCAGAATGGCTGCAAAGAGCTGCTGTTGTGGTGTGGAGTGTTTTCCTGGGATTGTTGCTGCTATTTTAGCAGGTTGAACAGATTTACTGAGTGCTCAGGAGGACTTTTTGATCTGGGCTTTACAAGCCTTGGACCCTGTTCAAGAGTAAGTGGCCAGGGGAGAGGAGAGGGATTGCTCCCTGACACCTGAAACAAACTTTAAATTCATTTCAAACTGTTCTATGAAACCAGAGGTTGGTTAAGGATTAAAAAAAACAACACACAAATACTTTATCAAGTGTGTCCTGCTGCCTCAGCCCTTTGTTCTCATTTATGGCAAGTGAATTGCATTCACAGCCATCTATGCCCAAATTGCAAATAATTTCTCGAGTTGGGATCTTTTCCATTATTTTTCAGGATGGCTGCTGAAGGAAATGGCAGAGCTGAAGGCCAGGGTTGAAAGGGGGATGGATGAAAGGGGCTCCTGGAGGAGAGCTGGGCTGGAACGAAGCTCAGAGAAAGGGAAGCAGATTTTCAGCATCTCTGTGCCATTGTTTAGGTGTGGTGTTTTTGCTGAGGTTTTGATAAAACTGTTATTTAAAAAAAGCCAAAACCTTGGTTTTGCTGTTAAAAAATGCCAAAACTACTTGATGTCTGCAGGAGGATTTGCAAAAGTAGACAAATTGTGCTGTGCAGCTTCTTTGGATAGTTTAGTGCTCCCTTTTGGGAAGCCTTCAGAAATCTCATCTACAGACTTGGATCCTTTATCCTAAAACTTGGCCATTCCACAATTTTTTTCTCCTGAGGAATTCACAGCTTTTTGCAGGCCTTTTAGGAGCTTTCTTTGTCAAGATACAGGCCTTGTGAGGATGGGGTTGAAAGCAGGATGAGTGCTGGAAGGTCCTTGGTGTACCTGGACATTCCCCACATGGATTTCCCGCCCCTTCAGCTGCCAGGAATAGCAGGGGATGGAAATTCCTTTGGGATGTGGCAACTCTGTTACATTTCGCAGAAACACCTTCCAGAGTGGATTTTCTTTTCATTTAGTGTTACACTGAGTGTTTTCCCAGGTAACCAGTGCAGGGCTCAGCTGTGTGGCCTCCCATGGAGTCTGGCTCACCTTTTGGAATTCCTGGCTCTGCATTAGTAGAAAGTGGGAAGACAGCTGACTTCAGTGTGGAACTGCCTGTGAGGTGTCTAAAAGAGGCTGTGGCATAAAACTGAGCAGCTTTTTCCAAGTTGCTCTTTATATAAAGTTGAGTATTTTGCAGTGGTGTGGCTGGCTGGAGGCTGCAGCTATTCCCGGGCAACACTGAGCTGCCTTCCAGTGGGAAAGGGAGGGAAGGGGGAGCTGTGTGAACAGCAGGGCCTGTGAGCCAGTTCTCAGGGGCAGCAACAAGCTGGGGCAGGCAAACAGGTACCCAGCCAGCTCCCTGAGGAGAGTTAAACTCAGCCTCAGCTTGCTAGGCCTGAATTAAATCAACGTTAACAGAGCACGAGGAGAAGGAAGGTTTCACCCAGGAATAAACCATGGATCCAGTTAACAGGCAAGGGGTACAGGAAATTTCCTCACTGAGGAAATGAAATTAACTGAACAGGGATTTAAAAGAAGCAACTGGGTTGGTTTTTTTTTTTTTTCTGCTCTGGTAAACTTTATGAACCCATTAGTAGGTGTTTCTCGCTATTTTGCAGTGACAGGACCAGCAGGCCCTGAGTGTCAGTCAGATGGTTCTCAGCACTGTGGGCTGGCACTCTGCTGTGCCATGTCTGGAGCTGCTTCTTCTCCTTAGAAAACTCCCAGTTCAAACCCCCAAACTGGATTTCAGGGGCTTTGTTCCCTCACAGCAGCTGTCGGTGTGGCCCCTGCAGTGTCAGATCTGAGGGCTCCTCGTCTGAGGGGCTGCGATGGCGCCCTCAGCAATTCCAGTTCCTCAGGGATGAAGGTGTTGCTGGGTGGAGCTCCCCAGAGCACGACTGCATCAGCAGGAGATACAAAAAGCTGATTTTTAAAATTTTGTTTCCTTTTACTACTTATCACAAATGTAATTTGTGTATCTTTTATCCGTTTTAGGAAGTGTTGGGCTGGTGCGAAACAGGCACTGAAAATGCAGCAAGCGAACAGCAGCCTTTCCTGGGAACCAGGTGCCTCTGGAAACGTGGAAACCTGCTTTTAAAACTGAATTGTGTGCCAACAAGATGGTTTGTAACAATTCATTACCCTGGCAACTAGAATTTCCTGGCTGTGCTGGCAGTGTGGTTACTTCCTGTTAGCTGGTAACCTGCCTAATCCTGCTAACCTTCTTATTGTAGCCTGCCTAACTATTGTTGGTAAGCGGCTTTGGGCACTAAGCCCTGACTATTTGTAGCAAGTTTGGAGCTGTGCAGGTGCAAATACACTCGTTCGTGCCTGTGAAATTAAACATGATCTCATGGACTGTGTCAATTGTCAGGAAACAACAGCATTTCTGGCCTGTTATCACCTGCCTTCTGTGTGCTCCGGCCACCAAGGCATGGGGGGGAATTGTCCCCAGTGGATAATCCTGGGAGGCAGGTCTGTGACACACTGGGCAGAATTAAAAGGGGTGAAGTCCTGCTTGTCCCCTGTCATCTCCTCACCTCCACCCCCTTTTGCTGGGAGAATTGGTGAGTTCATTTGGCTCAGTCAAAGGTCTTGAAACCCAGGGAAGAACAGGAAGGATGGGGAGGACAGAGCTTGTGCTCCTTGGGCACGGACAGGCTGTTTGATGTGCTCAGCTGTCTGAGGAAGGATTTACTCTGAGCAAATCTGAGCAGAAATGCCCAGTAGGGCTGCACTGAGGGTTTATTGGTGTGTTTGTGCACTCTTAGCACAGTGGAAACCTCTTAATGCTGTTATTCCTTGACAGAACTATCCAAAGCACTGGGTCAGGTCCCACAGCTTCGTGTCTGTGTGGTTTGCCTTGCCCAGTGATCCCTGATTTCTCTGCCCCATCTGACTGCTGGGTGTTTGCAGTGCAAAGCAGGGACAGGACTTTTTCTGATTTGTAAGCCTTAGCTCTGATCTGTCATTCCTCAAATTCCTGAAATTCCTACTGAAGAAAGAAGCAATTTTGAGTTCTGCTGGAGTGTGCAAGGGCTTTTTTTTTTTTTTTTAACCAAAAAATTATACAACCAGAGATGTAAGACTGTCAGTCCACTGAAGGTGAGGAAGGTCTTTTGTTATTCTCTTCATCTGTAAAATATAATGATTTAATAGTTTTTTCCTCAAATGAGAAGAGAATGTGACCTCCTGCTTGCTGTTGTGGTAATTATGTACGTGAGGAGATGGTTTCTAGAGGAAACAGTGTTTTAAGTACAAAGAATGCTTGAAAAAAAAAAAGCACAATATCCTAAACTTCTGACTTCTTATTTCAAAAATAAATATGTATAATTATTATATAGAAACACTCTTCTTGCACTTGGAATTTATTATTTAATACTACAGTCTGCATGCAGAGTTATCCCCTTCTTCCCATGTGGTATTTTTAATCCTTTTTTCCAGATGCACCTTTCTCATTTTCTTTGCAAATTTTTGAACATGTTTCTACTTTTGTGCTCTGGCCATTAATTAAAATACTAAAGGCAGAATATTCAATAATGTGTGAGAAACTTTCCTATTCATCTCCCTGCTGCAGTCTCCCTGAAAGCACAACTCATCAGCATTTCTCCTTTAATGAGCTCCTTATCTCAAAATGCTTCTGTTGTAATTTGCCAAAATCTTTCACCTGGATTTCGATTTTCACGTGGAAGTTACTGGTTCTTTTCTTTCAATATAGTTATTTTCTTTCCCTTTTTCTGGTTTGCCTACATGTTCCCCTTCTTTGTTTGAAGTATTTTTTCCCTTTGCTTCACAAGGTTTAATTCACCTTGACCTGTCAGCCTCCATTTCTGTTCTGTCATCTCTGATTTTTCTTTGCTTTCTTTCCTTTCCAATTCCTTGCTGGAATATTTATCCCTTTATGTTTGTAATGCAATTTCTGAACCTTTTTTTTTTAACTTAAATCTCATTATCGTTCCACTTTGAGAAGCTGATTTCCATAAGTGGTTCCTTTAATATCTCCAAGTTTGATCTCCCCTGTCTTTCCCAAATTAAAGAATCCTGGTATATATTATGTGAAAACTGAAGTACCCTCTTGTATTAAAACCATTTATATTTGATCATTCTCATTGCCTTTTCCCAGTTATGTAATTCCATGTTAAGGTGGGAGGACCAGGAATGCAGGATTCAGGATGGAATTGTTTTCCCCCCAGTTTTTTTATAGTTTGGGAATATATTTTACCCTCACATGCATTTATTGGTGCTGATTAAAGCTGAACCACATCCATTACTGCCCTCAGGCTGGAAACCCAGGTAAACCACATCCATTGGATGCCCTTATTCCACGTGATTCGGCTTGACTTTTTCAGAAATGCTAAAAAAAAAAAAGTTGAGGTATAACCTCCCAAAGGTTATATCATATTTTATATCATATTTCATATCATATTTCAGTGCTCATTAATTCTGTTATTGTTAAGGTTAATACGTAAAAATTCAGGGAAAAACTCAATCCAAACTATACATAGGTCCCCAACTCCTTCTTATAAAAACTTTAAAAGCAGTGATTTTGCTACTTTCAGTTCAAAGCAGTTTTAGTAGTACTTTTATTCCCTATTTTAATGGTCCAACAATTGTATATTTGCTCTTTTAGAACCTTTAGTCGAGTGCTGTCAGACCTTAGAAACACATTGATCATTTTTCTGATTTGAAATGTCTTCCAATAATGTGAGAAAAGCCATAACTTACAGCTCCTCTGCCTTCTTTCAGAAAAAAAGATTTAATTTCCTAAAGAGATAAATCCCAGTAACATGTGATTATTAACTGGACAACTCTTCAGAATTCCAAAATGCTCCCAAGCACAAGCAAACCCACCTTGAGTTTGGATTGTGGGGCTGCCAGGTATCAGCAGAGATTGTAAACTGTGATTTTTTTTTTTTTCTTGTGAAGTAATGATTAATATTTCCAGTATTTTCATTAATTATTAATTAATGTTTTATTCAAGTTGGATTTTTTTTAAAGTTTCAGTTTCGCATTAGTTACGCTCACGTTTCTGAAATAAATAAAAGCAATGATGTTTAAAAAAACCTTTCAAACTTTGAGAGACCATGTAACAAATTAAGGAGGAAGAAACAAGAACAGATTTGATGTTTCCCAGCCCTTAGTGTGACAGGTTAGCAGGAAAGTCAGTCATAGGAGAAGGGAAAAAACCAACCCCCAAAGCTTTTATTTCCATTCTTTGTTGTGTAGCAGCTGTAGTCCTGAGTAACCTGTGTGTGAAAAGAGCTACTACAGCACTGCTCAACAGAGTTTGAGACGACAAGAGTCACCTGAGGTAAACCAGAGGCTCCCTTTGCTGGGATATAATTGCATTTTCTGCTCCAAAGTCTTTGCCAGCACGTGGAAAAAGCTGGATATGAGACCTCGGTACTTGCATGGCACACGAGGTGGTGTTGTTATTAAACAGTGGTTTAATAACAGATCAGAGGTGCATTAATGCCACAGGAGACTAGAATAAGGAAGTTTAATACAAAAGTAAATTATTTTCTTGGTGGAAAGCAGCAACTTGGGCTTTCTTACTGGAAAACAAACACAAATTCTGCACTGGGAGGGTGCACTTTTTGAAGCCAAGAGGTAAGAATTCACAGGATTTTGTGTTAGCAGCAAAGTACCAGGTTTCTCTCTGGTGTCTGTTCCTCTTCCAGCCATGGAAGAGGTTCCTGAGCCCCAGGACATCCTGTCAGGTGGCTTCTTCATCACTGGCTTTGTCTTCAGAATCATAACTTTCATATTCCTCCCCCTCATACTGGGAGGCCCCCTCGGCCTCAGGGTCAGAGTGACCTTCCTCCTCCTCCTGCTCCTGGGAGCGCTCAGACCGAGGGCTGGGGCTGGAATGATCCTCCTCCTCCTCCTCCTCTTCCTCCTGGGAATGGCCAAGTGACTGATCTGCCTTTGCTTCCTCTTCCTCCTCCTCTTGGGAATGCCCAAGTGACAAACCTGCCTTTGCTTCGTCCTCGTCCTCCTCCTGGGAATGTTCAAGGGCCAAGCCTGCCTTTGCTTCCTCCTCCTCCTTGCTGTTGCGGACGGAGGGTGGGCTGGACTCAGGCTCAGCAGCATCAGGGCTGGCTCTGGGCTCCCCCTCCTCCTCCAGCTCACTGGACTGCTCATCTGGGGTGGAGGTTCTCACCCCTTTTCCCTTCTCTTCCTCCTCCTCCCAGGACTGCTCTGAGTGGGGACTGTCCTCAGCTGCTCCCTCAAGGAATCCCCTTTCCTTCACTTTGATCTTGATGACTCTGAGAAAACAATTTACAGGTGAGATTCTGTTTTCATGGAATACAGGACAAATCCCAGTATTCTTAACTGGGAAAGGAAAAGGGAAGGTGGGAGGGGACACACACACCAGAGTCTCTTTTATGCTAAAAAGTAACTCAGCAGTATTGCTTGTATATTCCAACTTTTTTATTTCTGCTTCCCTTTAAATCATAGCCCTTCATGGGTATTGAAAATGACTTTTTATAAAATTATTTTTAAAAATTCAACTTTGAATTTGAAATTAGGTTTAAATTTTAACACATAAAGAAAACGTTTTCTTCATTTTTCTCTGAAGTGCATTCTGTAGCCAGTGCCCTCCTCTGTTTTATGAAATACTATTTATTTCAGGAAAAAGGATAAAAATGACATACTACCACTAACATTAGTAAAGCAAACCACATAGTCAAACTGTTCCCTGGGAAATGCTATAAATAATTAAAAAACCCACCCCAAATCTACACACTCAGAATTTCCTTCTAATTATTAGATATGCAGTGGGTGAGAAAAACAAAAGCCTTCAGTAATATCTCTACCTTTCTCTGGCATCAGTGGAGATGAAATCTTCAGCAGTGGAGCACTGGAGCAAAATAGTTGTTTGTCCTTTCTTTGAAACAAACTCCGGGTTTATCCCCAGTGCTCTCAGCCTGTTGGAATAATGCTTTTCCGCAGCTATTCTGGCATTTTTCTGTGGGAAAACCACAATGGTTACGTGTTACCTGATGCACTGAACGCCTGCCTTTTGATATTTTATTGATATTAATCCTCTGTTTCGTTAACTGCAGCTGACAAGTGGAATGATTATTCACTGCAGGCAAGAATGGCAAAGCAATACTTGAAAATTTTACATCGGATTTTCCTCTCCCGCACTGGTGATTTCTGGTTGTGTTCAGAGCTACTCTCGTTGCACCTGAACTGGACACCCTTACAATGTTGAGTCACAAAAATTAGTAACATTTACGAGGGGCAGCAGAGATTGAAACAGCTAAATGCTGGCCTAAAAAGTGGTTTTCAAGTGTCTTCTCAACACGTTTGACTGCAAATGCCTTACTCAGTATCTGCAGTAGAGAACTGAGCAGTAACACAGACACGAGGCAAACCTGAGTGACTCTTTCGAAAAGCAAAGGCCTCTGTTTTACTCTTTCTTCCATTTCTTGCAGCTCTTGCAAATATTCCTGCCTTCTCTGCTTCTCGTTGTTCCTAAGGGAGGCAGAGCACAGGAGGAATTGTTAGGAATTCACAATACAGCAAGTGACTTTCTACAGCAGCCACGTCACTCATAACAAACTAAACATTGCCCTGCTTAAAGATGAATAAAAGGTAAGTCCTGAGCAAACCCCATCTCTGCAGTCATCACCTGGGCTAAGCAGAGACAAGTTACTGAGGTTAGACAGAGGCTGACTTTGGATTCTTGGAGGTTTGGGGGATTTTTAAAAAAAAATGTGGATACCTGGGGTTTTTTAAATTCTGATTTCACACAGATCTCCCAGTTGCTCTATGCAAAATTAACCAGAGTACACCATAGGATGTGAATAGCATTAAAAATCAGTGCTTTTAAAGCTTGGAGAGAATCCTGCTACTTTAGCAGTTGATCTCCCATGTTCTGGATCATGGAACACTTTTCCTGGTTGGCTTGTCAGTCAACAGAGCAGGGCGATGAAACTGTTGATTCATCAACTGAAATGGGCAGTTGGATCCCAGCAAGCGCTGGATAATCCAGGTGGGATGGGTTGTAATCCCCAGTGTGTGACAGACACCTCACTAGGTCAAGGGTGAGATCCAGGGGGCCTTTTACACTCCTGCCTCCTCCTGCCTCTCTCTCTGCCCATCTGGGAATTCCTGGGGCATGGCTGTGCACCAAGGCAAGTTACTCACCCTTTTGGGGAGTGAACTTCCTTGTTGCTGCTCGCTTGAGAGAGCATTTACACTGAGAGACCTCGTCACCTAGCCCTGCTGAAATGAGCATTAGCAGGTTAAGCCCTTGGAGCAGCCTCGGAGCGTCAGCAGCAGGGAAATAACCTTGCTCTGTAATGGCATCCCCTTCTGTGCAGACAGGAGTTAAGCCCTGTGTGTTTTACAGAGCTCCTCAAATCTGATTAGGCTGAACACTGCAGTGTGAATTTTGCTGGTGAATGAACTCACATCAAATCTGCAAAAACACCACTGTCTCCCTTCATTCTCTACCTACTCTGACTCCAGTTGTTTTCTGCTTCTGTCCCAGAGTCAGCAGATCGTCTCCAAGGACACATTCATCATAAAGCTCCTGTTACCAACACAATGCCTGCTGACTGGAAATTAGGAGTCCTGTTTGCCCAGGAATCCTGCCCAGGCATGAAGCAGTAGGGGCAGAGCAGTCCGTGCCTCTCACAGTCTCCAACACAACAGCACCTGAAACTGGTGGTGCTCCTGCAGTGCCAGGCTAGACCACAAACCTTGCTGAAGAGTCAAACAGGATCCATGTTTTGTAAGATTAGAAAGAGCAAGAAGCAGAAATGGTTTTAAGTTAGCCCCAGACACCAGGTCAGGCAGCAGTTCTGGGGGTAGATCCGTGTCAGAGAGCTGGAGCTCCCTGGAGTGCCAGCTCCCAGCACTCACGTCATTCCCTGTGTGCTGCTTTCCTCAGGCATATGGAAACAGTCTGTAAATTGTATCCCTCCTCCAGGTAACTTTGCATCCCAGTCCTCCCAAACACCAGCAGCTCCCTAGGTAGCTGCTGTTACACGGGTGAAGTTAAAATAATATTCCCGCTCCAATTTTCCCTCTCCAGTGGGGCCTGCTGGGACAGGGAAGTAAAATTGTGGCATGTTCACTGTCCCAGTGTACCGACCCCAGGGCAGTATCCAACTGAGCAGGGATATTCCCTCACTACACTCTTCCTTTTCCTTTGAATTGTTAGAAACTTTTCCTCTTTAGCTGATGTGTCAGGTGAGAAAACACAGGAGTCCCCTGTGTGCTAATCTGAAATACTCTGAGGTGGAATGTATAATATATATGTTCTAATGATTTCAATATAGATTGGCAACAATTTCCCAGTTGAAATACTACATTTGACCATTTTCACTGTCTGCTTGCACAGTGTTTAATTTCTCACATGCCATTATGTTAACCTAGACTACTTTTTTACACATTGTATGTTTAACATACAATGCAATCCTGAACCCCTCATTCTCGTTGTTGGATGAGAGGTTCTGGATTCAGGGGAATGCCACAAAATACCTGAATGTTTTTAATTTGGATTTAGACATCTGAGCAAGGCTCTGATGTGGGTCATTGGCCTCAGCCCGAGCCAGTACAATTTTCTGGAATTTTTTCTTTCTTTGTTTCTGCTTTGTTCTGTTCCTTTTTTGTTGTTCTTCCAGCTTTCTCTTTTCCTCGAGTGAATTCCTGGTGGGGAAAACAAACTAAGGCTGAATTCATATTAAATCAAGAGCACCACTTCAAAGGAAGCTTTGGCAAAGATGATTCCAAGGAGGAAAACGGGCTTGCCATGAGAGGACACAAAGTATGTGCCATTTTAAGGGATTCAGGATATCCCTTTCCTAGGGACATTCTGAGAAAAATTCACTATTGTTTCTTCGACAATCGTAAACTTAAAGTATTTTGGTTTATATTATTTTAAGTTTTATATTATAATTAAGCCCTTATATTAACAAATTCAGTCCTATATTTACTGCATGGAAGAATTAATTACATGTGTAGAAACACACAAAAAATCTACTTTTAAAGTACATATAAAGTAGAGCATCTCTAAATAATCACCTTAAGGCTTGTAGCCTTCGTCTCGTGGATTCTGTGTTTTTGGGAGACTTGGATTTTCCAGATCCCAAGAGCTGGGAATTTGCACTTGGATGCCTCGTTTGGGGTTGCCGTCTGGGAGAGGCAAAGGGCCACCGGGTTTCCTTCAGCTTCTCCTCATCCTCCTCGATGTCCTTCAGAATCTTGCCCTTGTTTGAGGGGATATAGGAAGTCAGAAGATTGAAGGGCTCACACACTGTGAGGTCTTTCACTTGCTTTTGCTGCAGGAGCCGTTTCTGGAATCTCTCGTGTAACCTCTCGAAGTCTGGGACGCTGGGGTTGATCCTGGGTCTGTGTTCCGGTTGATTTGGGTCGGCACTCTTGTGTTTCTTGGGTTTGTTGGTCTGTTTTAAGGCCAGCCTGCTGTTGGGGACGGAGGAATTCCGCAGCATCTCCTCAGCTCTCATCCTGATCCTGATTTCCCTGTAGAGTTCCTCCTCCTTCAGCCTCTCCTTAAAATCCGGGCTATAAACACACTTGGGAACCGGTTTTGCTCTGAACGCTTTGGCTGGACTTTCGGGCACGGCGAGGTCTCTTAACTGCATTTTCCTGATTTCACTCCTTTGCCTCTCTCGTTCAATGAACTTAAAGGGCTTCTGGGAAGCCAAGAGCTTGAGTTTGCTCCTCTCCCTCACGGACCTCCTGCGCTCCTCGTTCCGCTGCACGATGTCGTGGTAGAGCGGCAGGAAAATGGCGGCGGGCACCGGATTGGCCCGGAATTTTTTCTGGCACTCTGCTTCTTCCTCCAGTTGCTTCTTCAGCAGGTGATTCTCCAGCTCGATCTGTGACTTGGATTTCACGTTCTGTTCTTTCTTCTGAGCTTCTCGGATGGTCATCTGGAAAGGCTTGGGCACGGTGACTTTGGGAGACCACTCCTTGTGTTTCTTCCGCGCCTTCCTGCCGGTGGGTGAGCTGGGGGGGCTGTCTGGGAGGCGGGAGATGTAATCTTCCATGGAGAAGCCATCCCACATCCTCTCGATCTGTTGTTTAGCGAACGAGGATGATCCGGTTTCACTCCCGTTTCCTTCGAACACTAACTCCACGTCGGACACGTCGGATAGAGTTGAGCCCAAGGGATCGCTTAAGTCGGAGTCTGAAAAGGATTTGTGCAAGTTTAGAGGCTGATACGAGCTCTTGTCCCAAGTAGGCCTTGGAAAAAGGGGGGAAAAAGAAAGCTTGGTTTGAGCCAGTCCAACACTGATGCAAAGGCAGTAATTTCACTTTAAGGAATCATTGCTAGGAGCAAAAATGGCAGTGGCTGAGGGGGACGAGAAGGGAAAAGAGCAGCACTCTGGGCACTGACACCAACAGATGCCAGTTTTAGTGCTGATCACCAAGTCAGCACTACCCAGGGAAAGGCCCTGTGCTTCCCTAAACGTGCTGCCCAGACCCTGCTGCACACCCTCCTCTAAACCTCCCAGCCTGGCAGCGAGGTGAGGAGCATTTTTATTATTAAAACTGGCTGTTCTCTGATCCTCTGCTCACAGGAGGTGTGCAGACGAACACTTTCCAGCCCCAGAAACACAGCCTGCTCTTTTACAGCTGCCTGCAAAGCATCTGGGAATCTTCAGCTAAAAAGTGGCCCCCCAACTTACCTACAAGATTTGAAAGAGGGGTCCTTTCTCTTGTCCAAGGGTTGTGCTCCTTTTAAATGCAGTTTGTTCCGATACAGACTTTCCAGTTTTTTCATGGTCTCCAGGTGGGCGTTCTTCAGCTCTTCCAGCTTCAGGTAATACTCTTGATTTGAATTGCACATTTGGGAGAAGTCTATCCACTTGTCACAGTCTCCTTTTAGAGGGGGGGTCTGCACTCTGTTGGTATTTGAATCCACATCAAAGCCATCCTGGAAAAGATGTTTGTAAAATTTTCTGACTGTTAGAAGGAAGGGAAAAAAGGTTCTTAATGCTGCTTTATCCTAATTTAGTCTAATGGATGATACAGTAACAGCAAATAGAGTTACTGCAAATAAATGTTACTGCACAGCTCCCTGGGATGATCTTACTGCATATTAATTTATGTCCTGGGGGTCCTGTTTAAAGCCTGTAAAAATTCCCAAGTCTGTCCTGTAATCAATATATTTATACCAGGAATTATGATCAAAAGGACTTACCAAAAGCAAAAACTTAACTATTTTGTAAAGTGTGGTTTTTCCTTGATTACTATGCAGCTCTAAAAAAGCCTTAAGTTAAAAGCAAACAAACCCACAACAGAACCTTCTCTGCCTCCCATTTCCATAAGAATTCTAAAAATAAGTCATTAGAGATCTGGTGTATAAAAGGTTATTCTCATTTCCATAATTTACTGTGAGATGACAGGGATTCTGTACAGCTTGTATTTCCAATACTGTTGGAACTACATCTGCCAGCATATAGATGACTATACATATAAAATATACATATAACTATACATATAACATATATATATAACTATACTGCCAGCACTGGCAGCTGTGTGCAGGTAATATTCTTTAAACCTTTTTAAAGCTTACACAAGTCAAGTAAGTTACTAAAGCCAAATTAATCTGCATTACAAATGCTTCATTTTGTCCCTTTTTTTGTTAAAAACCAAAAAAAAAACCAAAAAAAAAAAAAAAACAAAACAAAACAAACCCCGCGGGGCAATTTCTCTACTCGAAAAATTAGAATACGACTTTTCCACACCGGAGGTATTTTAATAAGCTTTGACATTCCAACAAAAACTCTTGGAGGTTTTCACAGCAAAAGTCTTTTAACTCCGGCGTGGAGGAAAGGAGTGGCTCAATACAACGCGAATTACACGATCACAGAGGGAAATTTGAAGCGAGCGTCGTTATAGAACACCCAGAGACGGGCATTATCCGCCTCTCCCTGGACCTGCCGCCGCCAGCACTGTGTGCAAACCCCTCCAAGCCTCTTCCCTGGGCTCGGGCACCGCCAGCTCCTGCATCTGCTGTGTGGCCGCCGGGGTGGCCCGAGCTCCTTAAGGGATTGGCGCTGCGGCGGGGCCATCTGCCAGGCCCGTCCCTGCCTCTCCCTGCACCCCGTGCCCCCTTCCAGGCCGGGAGGTGCCGCCCTGCCTCGGGCTCCCGGTGCCGGCGGGTCCCTCTGCGGGGCCGGGTGAGCCCGTCAGGCCGTCCCAGGGATGCCCGAGCCGCCCGGGGCTCCCCGCGGTACCTGCGCGGAGGGTGCTGGCGGCGGCCCCCGCTCGTAGAGCGCGGCGGGCGCTCTGGTGCGCGGGTCCAGCGGGGTGCGCAGGCAGGACGCGGCCAGGCAGGCCGCCCGGTGCGCCTCCTCCATCCCGGCCCGCGGGCTCGCAGCGGGCCGGCCGGGAAGCACGGAGGGAAGCGGGGCCGGAGGGAGGGAAGGAGGCGGCTCCCGCTCCGCCCCCGCGCGTTATAACCGCCCTGCCCCGAGCCCGCCCCGCTCCCGCACGGCCCGGCACCGCATCGTCCTCTGCGCCCGCCATCGAACTCCGCGGCTGGGGCTTGACTCCGTCCCCTCTCCACATCTGCTGTGATCCCGATTTTTAGGTAGTATTTTTGCAGGATTTTAGTCGGAACCTGCAGCTCCCTCCTTGACAAGCTCGCGGTTTTTACACCCTCGAGTCACTTAAGCAGCTTTTTCCGTCTTCAAGTTTGTACTTCAGGTAAGCAGTACTGGAATACAGCTAAACCAGAATAAGCAGGAATGTTCTATCCTAAACTAGGATAAGTAGAAATATTCCCCTGCAGGAATATTCTATCCTAAACTGGGATAAGTAGGACTATTCTTCTGCAGGAATATTCTGCTGTAGGAATAGTCTATCCTAAATCAGGGTAAGCAGGAGTATTCTTCTGCAGGAATAGTCTATCCTGAACTAGAATAAGCAGGAATATTCTACCCTAGGAATATTCTATCCTAAATCAGGGTAAGCAGGAATATTCTGCCTCTGCAGAGGCACACTGATGATTGATGGACCCATTTGTTGTAGTAGAACAAAATACTTTTTATGTAAAGAAACAACATACCTTTTGTGTAAAGATACAAAACGATGAAATCACACCCAGTTGTTGTTGTAGTTCTTGTGGAGAACTGAAAGTTTGTGATAATGGGGAATGAAAGCTTTAATCAAAGTGAGTACTAAACTGAGAGATCACTGCTGGATGTAACCCCTGTGGGGTAAGGCATCGTTTGCAATTTTAATCAGCCAATACCATAATTCATGCAGAACATTAATGCCTAAATCAACTGTCTAATTTATGTAGTTTTATTTTAATTATTCTCTGTGTTCTACTTAGCAAGTCACAGGGAAGTATTTCAGCAGCAGCAGGTCAACAACACGGTGGAAATTTCCTCAAAGGCTCCAGCTCCAACCAGTCACTGCCAACTTCAGGAGGCAGACCAGAGCAGGGAACGTGACAGTGCTCCCCAGCGCTGTCGCTGCACAGATCCTCCTCCCCTCCAGCCCCACATCATTAAGGGCAGTGAACCCACTCCCTTCAGGAGAAGCAGATGTAACCCAGCATGTTACTGGAGTGCATTTCAGGGGTGTTCTTCAGAGTACATCACAGGAGCCCAGTAGTTGCTGTTAAACTTTACAGAGCTAAGTGGGAACACAGAGAAGCAAATATAAACCAGTGTTTGTTCTATAATTCTGCTAGAAATAAGGTAAAGACTTGGTAGGCTACTGTGTGTTTATTGATAAACAGCATTTCCTTTTTGAAAACAAACTGGTTTTAAGTTAACCTGATCAAAGTACACAAGTCTCAGTGGAGTTTAAGACAATTCACACAGGCGCTTTTGGTGAGGAAACTATTCCAGGTTCCAGGGCAGGAGCTCTCGGGCACAGTCCCTCCTCTGCTCAGCTCAGCCTCGAGTGTTCACCTGCAAAGAGTTCACACAGTCAGGCATAAGAAACCACAGGATACACCACAATTACTTCTTTGCTTAAAGATCCTGGGGGTTTGGTGACTCCAACTGTGCAGTATTTATACAGTGGTTTTGTCCCAGCTGCTGTTACTAAAAGGCCAAATGGTCTTAAAGTAGCACATAAACAGAGAATACTACACAGTAATTGTATTTTGAAGCACAGCAAGTTAATGCCATGAACTATCCTGGTGCTTGTGAAGGAAAGATAAACCAAAACACGGTGCCAACACTACTCACCACATCATCAATCTTGAGAATGCTGCGCACGGTCTCTGTCGCCAGAGTCAGTGCACTCAGAGACACCAGCAGAGGCTGCACAACCAGCTCCTCCAGGATGTTGGAAATGCCACCCTGTGGGAACAAGGAGCCTTTAGATTGTGCAAGTCAGAATACAGTTAGATTTAGCACACTAAATCTCCTATTTGCAACAGCAGCATTACAGAACTCAGCTTCTCTCCTCAAGCACTTGACATACCCTGTCAAAATTAGCCAAGAGAAAAGCTCAGCAGTGGCAACTGAAAAGAAGCTGGGCTGTGGTGCTACTCCTGACACGTAAGTACCGTCCCCTGCAGTTCATAATGATTCTAAACGGAGTCACTGCTGTAGCTGACATGCTTTTGTAGAGACACAGGATCTTTCTTGTCCTGGGGGTAGGGCTTGTAACATCTCCTGTTACCAATGCTCAGGGTGAGCTGTTTGTTGAGAGAACAAGCTGCAGTTTCCCTCAACGCTAATTTTAGGGAGACTGTTATGAGACAAGAACTTGCCCTCTCACTAGTCCAGCCCTAAGGGGAAGCATTTTCCAGGTGTTACAACTCCTCCTTACCTTCCTGACATTAATGCCAGCTGTTTTCTCTCCTTGGGCATGTCTGTTCCTCAGCTCTGTCACAGTGGAAATGGGGTTGAGGCCTGCATTCTCAGCCAGGGTGGAGGGGATCACCTCCAGGGCATCCCCGTAGGCACGGACGCAGTAGGAGTCCATGCCCTTCAGGGTCCGGGCGTACTCGTTGAGGCGCAGGGCCAGCTCGATCTCCGGGGCTCCTCCTCCTGCAATCAGAGCTCTGGGGACACAAATGAACACCAAAACTCATTACAATCAGGCTTTGTGTCTTCCTGACACACCACATCAACCAAAGGGTGTCGTTACCTTTTCTTAACTAAGCATCTTATGACGCACAGGGCGTCGTGAATGGAGCGCTCGGCTTCCTCCAGGACGAGTTTGTTGGATCCACGGACCACGATGCTCACGGTTTTTCCAGGGTTTGTGCAGCCTGTAATCTAAACCACAAAACCAAATACTGAGACTGAGGGAGGAAAAAAGATTCTGGACAAAAAAGACACTTCCACTGGTGTTCTCAGGTTCTGGACAGCACTGATGTCTGGCCAAGCATAACCACGGCACTGCCCAAGCTGGTGCTACTCAGAGCTTAGAAGTAGGTATTTAAATGTAATAAATTCAGTAGTAAAAAACATGAATTTAGCACTTGTCACTAAAATAAGTGGTAGATGTTAAGATGTATTAACTTTCTGTCCCTCACTCACCTTTATTAGTTTCCCAGAACCGTTCAGGTTGACCTCCTCTGCCAGCTCAGCAGAGCCCAGCATGTCAGGGGTGAACTGGTCAATGTGAGCCACGGGCTTAGTTCCAATTGTCTGAAAAAATAATGGGAAAAAAAATTAATCCAGAGGCTGACTGCAGAGTCAGCAAGTACCCTGCACGTTGTTCTTCTGCTTATTACAGTAAAATGGAGAGTCAGGACTGTGGCTTTTCCATCTGTCCTGAATCCTTCTACAAGTGTGACTGCTCAACAGAATTGGAATGGCTTTTAGGGAAATGGCTGGTTTTGCATTATAGTCAAAACATGAAACTTTAGAAAGTGTCATAATAAACAATTACTTTTGGGGTAGATTTTAAACACTGCTACTAATTCATAGAGCTCACTTTACCTTACATATAAACTCAATGTCTTCTCTTTCAATGTCTTTAACCACCATGATCTTCACTTTGTTCAGAAAATGGAGGGCCAGGTCACTGAGAGCATCCCTGGAAAAGAGAGGGAAGGAGTCAGGCCACAGTGCTCAAATTCCTTCAGAGTACAAAGTAAGGATGGCATGAAACTCAAAATACAGACAATGAGAGTGCTTTCTAAAGGTACAGTCACTGTTACTCTGCCAAGCATCACTGTTACTATCTGGCTTAATTTTCCCTAGGTTTTTCAAACCATTCCAATTGCTCCCCCAACCACATACAGGAAGTAAATCCAGCATACCTCAGAATAGACTTCTGAATGAGCAGCACATTGCAGCCAGCCTTCTTTATCTGCTTCACCAAATTCAGAATATAGGCTCTCTCTTCACGCAGCACTCTGTCCATCTGAGCGTAATCAGAAACAACTATCTGGTTGTCCATCTATTTAAGAATGGAAAAGAGAAAAGCAACTATGAGCAACTGCTGACTTTAAAAGCAAATGTCAAAATGTTCCACATTTTTTAATTTAGTCCCCTGTGATTCAAAGCCAACAAGCACAACCATAAAATACATCTTATTGAGAGATGGTTCCATATTTCTTATAATTTGAAACAGTTTTGGGTTTTCATACCAACTGTAAGTTTTTTTAAGACCCAGCAGACCTTCCCTCTAGCTGTGGCACAGAACTGACACCATAGCATCTTAAAAAAACATTACATTTGCATCTCCCAAGTCCCAGAGCACGAGGTTCCACTCTAGCCCCAGCCTGACTTACATCTGTCTTTGGAGCAGACAAGCAGAACTGGATGAGGCCAATTTTGGCTTTTTCCACTCTGGTCACACCGGTATTTGCCACTTTCTGAGTCAGGACCAGTCCTTCAACCAGTTCACAGTCATCAATTGTGCCTCTGGAAACAAGCACAAGCCATGACTGGAGCGCTCTGGGAAGCCGATTTCACAGGGATAAAATGTATCCCATGACAAGTTGTTCCTTACCCCAACTTCTTAACAATTTTAATGTCTCTGAGGTCCACACTGTTGGCTGTACTTGGGTCAATCACCTTCATCACGGCGTCCACACTCATTGGAGAAAGCAAACTGGAATACTGGCACACAACCTGAGGGATTTGGTAACACAGAGAGACTGAACACTGAGAAACAGCCATTTCCAAACCATGCTGTCGCTGCATTTCAGTGTTTGACTTCAGAATTTCAAATCAAAGCTTGTCTTCCCTCCCTGCCCGCCAAGTGTCTTAGCAAGGCACTTTCCCAATGGCTGCTCCGGGGCAAGGCAGGAGCGACGCCGGTGGGGAAACCCTACAGACATCTGAATTTCTCCTTCTTAAAAAAAGCACTTAAAGTGAGACTTTTGAGCCCAGACTTAGGATGGGTACTGTTAGTAAGGGAAGAGCAGCCCAGA